GTAGGTTTTGGGTTCTTAAGGTTAAGACTGGAGCTCTGCAACCCAGCAGCTGCATCTCCAGGGGATCCAGCTTCCCATGCTTCATGCATTTCCTCGCATGGAGGAAGGTCGGGTGCAGGTTGGGGGTTGACGGTTCAGTTGGGGGCGGGGGGAGGGGGGGGGGGCGTAGGGCTTCTGGTCTCAAGGCCGGCTTGGAGATGCTTTGAAAGGGTCTATGGCCCAAAGGGGTTTGGGCTACGTAATTTTGAAGCCTTTCAAAAAAGAGAAGAGCGGGTTCGGAATTGTAGTATACTGATTAGCTTGACCTCTTAGTCCCTATCGAACCGAATATACGACAGACTATAGCAGGGACATTGTGAATATAGGAGCCTTAATAATTAGATTAGGGTTCTGGGGCCCATGATACTGAAATTATAATAGGGAACCCCCAAAAAATAACATAGGCAATTATTAAGGCCCCTACTGGGTTGCTCTTTATTACCTTGCTAAAATTATAACTTTTAGTACCCCTAATATCAAAGAAGGCTAATCCTAAAAGTGATAAAGCTATAAAGTGACTGTAAAGTTCAACCAAGCCTATATTACCCAGTTTGCAGCCCTCTACAGACTCCACAGTAGATGTGATGGACCAAGCATCTGGTGCTCCCGCCGGTAGTCCCCACAGTGTCGCTCGAACAGCGCTTCGTACCTTGCTTTCATTGATTCGAATGTCGATGGGTTTAGGGCTTAGCAGGTCACAACCTCAAGATTGTAGGGTGTAGCCAACCCTGAACCCTATCCTAAATCCTATCCTAAAGCCTATAAACCCTATCCTAAACCCTATAAACCCTATCCCAAACCCCTGGGATCCATCACCCCCTTTATCAACTGATGCCATCTCAAGGGCTGTTGGCCATAGCCCTGGAGGCAGAGGGGAGCCGAGGCCGCGCCGCTGGCCTGAGGCATCGGCTTGGGAGGTTTCGGGCCTTAGGGCTCATAGGGTTTATAGGGTTTAAGGGTTTTGGGCTTTAGGGTTTAATTTGGGTTTATAGGGTTTAAGGGTTGGGGGTTTATAGGGTTTAAGGATTGGGGGTTTATAGGGTTTATAGGGTTTAAGGGTTTGGGTGTTTTGGGTTTATGTAAAGTTTATAAGGGTTTGGGGTTTAGGGTTTATAGGGTTCAAGGGTTGGGGGTTTTGGGCCTTAGGGCTTATAGGGTTTATAGGGTTTAAGGATTTTGGGCTTTAGGGTTTAATTAGGGCTTATAGGGTTCAAGGGTTGGGGGTTTTGGGCTTTAGGGTTTAATTAGGGTTTATAGGGTTTAAGGATTGGGGGTTTATAGGGTTTATAGGGTTTAAGGGTTTGGTCATATTTAGAATCCTATAAGGTAATCCCAACAAGGAACTGCTATGGGGCCTATGGGTATGGCAATCATGGTTCACCTTGCAGCCCCTGGAGCCTAGAAATGAAGACGCAAGCTCCTAGACTCATAAACCTACAACCCCTGCAACCCTAAAGCCCTCAAAACCCTCATAGAACCCTTCTGACTTCTGGTGTCTAGAGCCCTTTCCCCTAAACCCTAAACCCTAAACCCCTAAACCCTAAACCCTAAACCCTAAACACCCCCAGAGCTCCAGAGTTGCGGAGGCCTGGAGGCCCCACCACTTGGACTCGAGGTTGGCTTTCTTCACCTGCAGATCTGGGTTTAGGGTTTAGGGTTTAGGGTTTAGGGTTTAGGGTTTAGGGTTGTGGTGCATAGGGTGTGAATCTTGCTTTTGCTGAGGGCCTCAATGGTTTTGGCCGGAGTGGGTCATAAAGATTGATCAAAGATGTCCGATTGAAATTTTAGACAGTAGAGCGGCAGAACATCGAGTTTTTCGGGGGTCTGCGATTTGTTGTTTCCTTTGGGATTTGGAGTCTGCGGGGCAAACCCCACATGTCCCCACAAAACAACGAGGCCTGCGTGGTTGTCGGAACCAGCTTCAGGGGCTTCTCCTGGTCGGGGGATTCCGGCCGGTTCAGGTTGCCGAATTAGGCGTTTGTGGTATTGCTGCTTGGGGTTCAAGATCACGTTTCAGGGTTGCTCGTTTGGGACATTTAGGATTCGCGGGTCCGTTTGAAGATTGTAATCGTTTCGTACGATTCGGTTGGCTTCAAGCTTTTCAGTGGGCTCGGGTTGGCGCTTACTTGTATATTGCTAGGCTGCTAGGCTATGTGCTCAGCCTTCTTGACGGAGGCATTCCAGTGCCAGTCCACTCATTCAATGGCAAAGCAAACCAACAGCCAGGCACGAGCCTGCAACTCGAAACCCTAGTGGTAAACCCTGTTTGACGTTCAGATGCCGAAGCGCCAAACATCCTGAAAACCTCATTATGCCGAAGCCGCACAACAACGCACACACACACACACAAATACATTTTGCCGTCCTCACATGTACTCGGAGAACACAACTTACAGGAAACAGCGAGGTCCCTAAACCCTAAACCTCTCTTCGACTCCTTTCTTCGGGTAGCCGCTGGCCAAATCTCCAGCGCTCAAGGGCTATGACCCTGAACCGTAAATACCAAACAAGTGAGCTTGCTCCGCAAATGCTGCTCCCCTAAGATCCTAGTGGGGCCACAAGGTTAAAGCCCTCTAACGCAGGGGGCCTTAACAATTAGAACAGAGTTTTGGCGTATATATTATACTATACTTATAATATCTCATAACAAAACTTACCCACAAAATAGCATTTAATTACTTATAAGCCCCTACATTATGGCTTTGCGGGGGTCCTGGCCGCCGCCCCTGGAGCCTCCCTGGCCCATGGCGAAGACCACGGGGGGCCGCGGGAAGAGGCGGACGCGTCAGTCAAGGAGCTCCGAAGTTCGAGTTCAGGCTTAGGGTCGAATCTTCAAGGTATACTCTCTCTCTCTCTCTCTCTATCTCTCTCTCTCTCTCTCTCTCTATATATATATATATCAACCGAACAATATCTATATATATATATATATAGATCTATTTATGTGTGTATGTGTATATATATATATATATATCCTAAACCTCCCTCAACCTAAGCTCCAACTAAACCCTGCACCCCCTCGCGTGCTCTGGACCTTCATCGCTGACGTGAACGGTATACGGCACAGGGCGCAGGGACTCGACAGACGGGGTCCCGACTGCGGTTGAAAATCCGGGGAGCCATGCACATCTTAAACCCCATCAGTCTCTGAATGATGCAGGAGTTACCCTAAACCCTAAACCCTAAACCCTAAACCCCAGTGACACTTCCTTTGATGCGGTTTTGACCTGGCCGGCCGAAGCTGCAGGATGTAGCAGGCGTTGCGCAAAGGTGGCTTAGGGTTTAGGGTTTAGGGTTATAGGGTTTAGGGTTTAGGGTTTCGGGTTTTAGCGTTTAGGGTTTAGGGTTTAGGGTGTAATGCCCACCCACAGGCCCCATAGTAGCTCCTGTTTGGGGGTTCCTTTTTGGGATTACCTAATAGGATCCTAAATTAAATATACGCCATTAAGAGACCACTTTTAAATTCGGGGTACCCATAGGCCCCATAGTAGTTCCTTTTTCTGGCTTATGTTTGGGATCCTATTAGGTAAGCCACAAAAAAAGAAACTACTATGGGGGCCTGTGGGTAAACCCCTGAAGCTCAAGAAACGCAAAACCCACCGGCCCCGACCCTGCTAAGTACGGAAGCAGGCGTTGGTTTCCATAAGCGGAGAACCGAAACGAAGTTCGAAAAGTCGACAAGTTTGCGACTTTTCGGATGTTCTTGCACTTTTCGTGCTTTTCGAATTTTCGGGTTTTCTGGCACTTTTCGGACATTTCGGGCTTTTTGGGCTTTTCGACTGTTCGGGTTTGCTTGCGATTTTTTAGGACTTTTTGGGCTTTTGGGCGTTTTGACGTGTCCGACTTTTCGTGTTTTCTTGTGCTTTTCGGACAGATACGCTTTTCGACTTTTCTTGCACTTGTGGGACTCTACGTGATTTTCGACTTTTCGGGTTCGGCTGGTCGTTTCAGGTTTTTCGCGCTTTTGAGCTGTTCGTTTCTTGCCTCCTCAGTTTTTTGCTTGTACAAGTAGCTGACTCCGTTGTCACACGATCATTCTTAGAGTCAGTCATGGTTTCAAGTGTCGTGGTTGAAGCTCGTTCGGGCCTTCCTGCTTTGGCCGACGGATCCGCGTCGCTGGGGCATTGACTGTCAAAGGGCTCATGTTGAGTCAGGCCTGCGGTGTGGCAGTCACAGTGTCATTGTAGCGCTTAGATCAAGCATGCTTACACTTAGCCTTCATCGGTTTTATCTGCCATCTTCGAAGTCGTTAAGCCGGGGGCACCACGAAGCAAAACAGCCGCTTCAGCGTTTGGCGATTGAAAGGGCGTTATAGGCTTTCGCTAGCTTTTTAAAGACCTTGGGTTTTGGAAAGAGCTTATGGGGTATGTTCGTGTGAGTGACTTTGTGTAGCTTTTCAAAGGTCTTCAACGATGGGGATCGGTGGGCTTCCTAATGGTATTATTTTGGGGGTTCCTTAATATATTTATAGCATAAAGGGCCCCAAAACCCTATTCTAATTATTAAGGCTTCTATATTCTCAAAGCTGCTCGCACGATCCTGCCCCGAAGCATGTTTCACATCGCTACGGCCCTGTTTTTCTATAACCTGCCACATCGACTTCCCTGTGCCATGGACACCTCGCACACGTAGTGAAGACGGACATCCTTTCCGGTGCTTTGATTTGACAAGGTTTCAATCTTAACAGGCCCCAAGGCCAGAGTATTTCCCCCAGTCCCGAAATCCTTAACATTATCCTAGATCTGCCTTGGCTCTCTGCGGACCAAGGCTGTGCCAAGATGTTTCAGATGTGTGCCGATTGTTTTTTTTTTCGGCTTCTGCTGCGGTGACTCTTCGACTGTTTTGACTTTTTGACTTTTAGCGTTTTGCTGTACTTTCCGACAGTTCGCGGCTTTTTGACTTTTCGGCTTTTCGCGACTTTTCGCGCGTTTTGCTGTACGTTTCGCGGCTTTTCGACTTTTCGCTTTCAGTTTGGCACTCTCCACTTATCCGTGCCCACCCCGAAACACGCCGAAATCTCTAAACCCGGAAACCCGAACCCGAGCAGCCGTGCGTTGCACAGCACTTTTTCGGCTCTTGCAGACAAGGCTTAGCCTGGACAGCAAGGTCGGCGCATTAGCAGAGGAAAGGTTGGGAGTGGGGCAGCCGGGGTTTAGGGTTTAGAGGCTTAAGGTTCGCAGCCTAGGGTTTCGCAATTTGGGGTTAGAGCTTCGATTTGAAGGTTTTGGTCTAGGTCTCGGGCGCACCCAACTCCCCAAACTTCCCGCTTGAAAGCCTACAGCCCCGTCGATTGAAACGACAAGGATCCATCTGCAACGACGGCACCCTAGCTACTAGGACCTTCAAGGACCCTTTGGCAGAGCCCTTGTGACGGTCCTTACCGACGGGTACTTTTCGGATAATTGGGGACGCCGTAGCGTCCTCACCAAAGGTTGCGGAATCTAGGGTTCCTGGCTGCGTTGAACGCAGGATTTTTTGATTCCTCATATATCTATAGTCTCCATTGTGGTTCCTTTTTTTGGTTTAACCAAATATATATTAAGGATTTTATAAGGTATCCCCAAAAAGGAACTACAACGGAGACTATAGATATCCTGCTTGCGACTCTACAGTCGCCAAAGCAAGGGCAAACCTACACCTTAGACCGACTTAGACCCACTCGACGACACCTCAACATCCTAAACCCTGTCCCTAATTTTTTAAACGCTATAATCCCCAAATCCCTAAACCCCGCACATGTTATAGGTTATGACTCTATATATATATATATATATATATATACATATGTATAAGAGAGGAGACAGAGTGTGTGTACATATATATATATATGTGTATATACATATGTATATATACATGTCAATGTACGTAGTAAGGGGAAGGCTTCGGGTCTCTCTGGGCCGGAGGGTCTGACTTCTCTCGGGGCTGAAACATCGTGTCAGTTTCTGTTGTTGAGCGCCTTCTGTCGTCTGCCTATCACCCTGTTTAGGCGTTACAAAAAAATATTGGGGGCTTGAGGTTTGGGGTCTTGTGGCTTAGAGAGTTTATAAGGGGTTTTGAGATTTGAGGTGTGGGCCCCGGCAAGTCCCGGGGTGGAAGAAGACACAAGAGACGTGCCATCGTCGCAGCACATGCAAATAAAGATGGTTGTGCCACCGCACGACATGCAAAGATCTGCTCAGCCACCAGCGCCGAGGTCTTGAAAACAGCTCTGGGTGGGGGGGTTGGCAGCTGAGAGAATAGGAAGCAGTTTACTAGTTCAGTGCAGCTGCACAGCCTCCATAAGGGGAACGCAAAGAAAGTATTTAACAAGATTCGCTATGGCTCCTGCTGCCAAAGCCACCTCGAGCTGCCCATGACAGTTCGTCAGACTATGTCCACTGAAGTGTAAAGCGCTTTGGCTCCGGTGATGGTAGAAACTGTACATTTTGTAGTTTCGGGTTGTAGCGATTGATGGTTGCCGGTAAAAGGTCTAGTGTTCCATACATCGGAGGGCATTCAGCAATTCGGAGGGTTTGGGCTGGAAATCACACGCCGTCTCGCTGTTCCTCCTGAGGCTGCCAGCTTGTAACGTTAACAGTGAGTCGGAAGCGCTGCGAATCTCAGAACGATGCGAACTTAATATATATATATATATCTAATATATATCTATATATATATATATAGATATATATATATAGATATATATGCCATCCAGTCCAACAGTAACCCACTTTCGAACTAATCAGGCCCTTGTGTTCTCGTAGCAGAAATACCCTAACACCGACAATGCAACAACGCTAGAAACTAATAAGAGAAATTGGAGAGGCTGTAAAGACTCCCCAAAAATCCTTCAGCCCCCCCACAGGTGGGCCCTGATGGAGGGCCTTAAAGGATTCCAAGAAATCCTTCAGCCCCCACGTGGGGGCCCTGAAGGATCGAAAGAAATCCTTCAAACCATACGCGGGGGATCTTGAAGGATTCCAAGATGGCTTTTTCAGCTCTCGAAGTCTTTCAAGGCGAAAGGAAATCAACTTTGATGCTCCTTGCTTCGGGCTTTGCATGGTGTTGTGAGGGGACGGGCAGGGAGCGTTCAACAATAACTAGGCCCCTAGTTGCCGCGTTGCCCTTTTTTCAACATGCATTCTCGAGTAAGGTTTATGTTTCGAGGTCCTCCTTCAGCTTGGACGGCATGTCTCGCAACAATGCCCCCATAGTCGGAGAAAGGTCCCCATCAAGACCGGCACCTCGCAGCCATAGCCCGCAGGCTTCGGGGGGTTAATAGGGAAAACGGTTTAGGAAGTTTAGGGTTTAGGGTGATAAGGTTTGTAGGGTTTGGGGCAGTTTGCGGCTTAAGGGCTAAAGGCTCACACCTGGCATCACTCCACCGCACACACTGAAGCCTGAATCTTGCGAATCAAAGTGTGATGAGGATGAGAACTAAACAGAATATCAGGTCGCAGATCCTACATCCGAACTGCATCACGGTGTATGGCGCCTCTGAAAGCTCCTACCTTCCGGTCTGGGAGTCAGTTGCACCATTCAGGCTTTAATTGTAATATCTCCAGGCAAAGAATTTGAAGGTGAGTTTTCTGGGGTTAGGACTCTTGGTAAAGGGCTCAGGGCTTTTAAGGGCAAGGGCTTAGGATTTACAGTGCCTAAACCCTAAACCCTAAACCCTAAACCCTAAACCGTGCCCCAGCCTTTCACCAGCTTTCTTGCTTCCCGCGTTGCAGCGAGCCTCCTGTAGGCCTCCTCCTGCGCTGCGAT